TACGCTTCAAGCACTCATATACATATGCGATGCCCCAGGCCACTTCCCAAGGCGAACTTCCATATCCAATGTCCCTTTTCGAAGTTCCTTACAATGGCGAACACCATTTTCGAGTAAGTAATCTCTGCGCGACACCATCTTTCTCGCACTCACGCATCTTCAGAGCGATCACTGGTACCCGGACGAGCAGCTGGTCACTCCGACTCACCACAGACCTCTCTCAAGATATATGCGACCCAATGTCCGCGACGGAAAATAGACTGAATGGCTGTCTGCATACGAAACTTGGTAGACTGAAGGCGAAGTCACCGGACGTCTACGTTCATCCTGAGTTTGTCAAGGCAAGTTAAAATGAACCGTAAAAACGAAACAAGAGTGCACGCATGTGGAGCCAGCCGTCGCACGGAATCATCGAGGCATACACTCTACGCGGAGCTTTGCGTCTAACTGTACCATCTACACGCATCCAACTGGTCCTAGTCTCGTTCCTTCAGCCACCGGGTCGAAGCACACACGGGGCTCCAGGACTTCGTACTCTCGCTCCAGGAGCCGGAGATACCTTCCCAGGTTGTACCTATCTTAACGGCCGTCGACGATAATGTTACGAGCGACCTCAGCACCGTTGTACTCTGCAACCTGGCAACCGTCACGTACATCAAAGGAAGTGTTGTCCAGCAGAATGGGCTCTCGCTCGGCATTCTTCTCCTCTGGCACGTCTATTGGTCGAACGAGAGCGGCTGTGATGTGGGCCTGTCTTGGCACATCAGTGTTTGCCAGTCGCTGGATCGAATTTCTTGTAGAATTCTAGATAGGTAAGTATTTTTTATGGGCATTTTGATTCGTGGGTGAGGCTTGCAGGCGTCGTGGCGTGTGAGTCCACGAGCAAGCGGAGATAAAAGCTGGGGGGTCAAACGCAGTCCTCGCTCACTCAGCAAGTGCTAGACGCAGTACTGGTCATGCTCCGATGGCGAACGGGAATATTAATCAGCACTGCAGACTTGCTCCCGAGGCCGGTCACCCTAGGCCTACTACTTATATAGAGTCTCTCCAGGCTCCCGCACCTCGTCACCCTCTTTTACCTACCATGCCGTCCCTCGAGCTCGTCACCAACGTCAAGCTGAACGATCCCAAGGCGTTTGTCGTCGAGTTCTCCGGGGTGAATAGTCTCGATGATAGCACTCGAACGCGATGGACCGACGATCCCAACGCCCTTTTAGTTCTCCGCAGAGCTCCTCAAGAAGCCGCTGCAGTACATCTGCGTGACCTACACCTACAACGAGAACATGGCCTGGAACGCGACCTTTGACCCGGCCTTCCTGCTCCACATCGTGAGCCCCGTTCCACGACATGTCCCCGTGCGGGGCGCACACAGGCCGCTGACCGCCGGGCCGCGCGCGCAGACGAGTTTGGACAACCTCAACCCCGAGGCGAACGTTGTGTACAGCGAGAAGATCTTCGAGTTTGTCGAGGCGAAGCTGCACATCCCCGGGCATCGCGGATACATGCACGTACCTTGTCGTCGGCTGCGGGTTCATACACGGCTGACTTGACCTCACCCCAGCTCGTTCAGCGATCCCGGTAGGGAGAACCTCGGGTACGTTTGCGTTCGGTTTGTGGTATCAGGGATGGCCTCTAACAAACGCCGCACAGCCACGCCAAGACTACTTGCGCGATCTTTGCCAGCCTGAAGGAGAAAGTCGTTGTGGAGAGGACATAAATGAGCAGCAAGTCTAAGCAATTGCATCACTAGGTTGTGAACAAAGAAATATCACGCACGGAAAGCATACATACTTAGTTCATATGTTGTCATCACATCTCGGATGGAAAACTAAGCGCAGTTTGTGGCTCGCAATGATGGCGTTAGCATACACGAAAGTAGACGACAGTCAACGGCCTTCCGCCCGTATAGTCTCATTCCACTATATGCACAATGTATGGCAAGAAAGCCCAAGCTTGGGGTCCTCAGCGATGCGATTTGAAGTCACTGAACATTCTATCTCTCCCTAGGAGCAGCTTCTCGGAACGACTCCGCTTGTGTTGGGGCTCTGCAAACCTCTGGTATGTTGCGCCCCTCGTCACTACCTCTCTCGCACAAAGGTTGACGATTGTGCTCCCATATAGAGTCGGCCATGTCTTGCTTGATACTGCGGCTGGCTGTCAAGTATTCAGCGCATATTCAGTACGCACCAGCGGCTTCAATCTCAAAACCTGTTGATAGTCTGTGAGTAAGATGCTGAAACGGAACGAAGACGGGTAGGTAGTACGCAAGAGTATAGTGGGTATTTGCTCACGGACAGGTTAGGGGGAGAAACAAGAGGGACATCCGAATACGGCATCGTAACATGTCCCAATATCCTCACCATCCGCTATCCAATCTTAGAAGGCCTGCCTTCATACAGACAACTAATAGTAGTAGCCGTATCCATTGCAAAATTCACACGCACAGTACAATGATGCGATACATTCATTTCTTGGGCCCAGGAGCCGTCCAACTAAATCCTTCAGCTTCCCCGCCAAGCTCCCGTGGCAGCTGCTTCGCGTCAATGCGGGCAAGAAGCGTACGCGCGATCTCGTTCTTGTCGGTGCCGACATGTGTGATGTGGTTCGTGGACTTTGCTGGCGTGCCCAAGACGGAATCGAGCCATTTGCCGAAGCGCAGGAGCCAGTTTGCGGTCGTGACGGAGGGCATATTGATAGCGACGGAATACGCCTACGAGGGTGGTGAAATTAGTCTAGTGCACGTTCGATACCTTGCGCAGGGCATACAACATGGCCAGGGTAATATCTCTCCTGCATGGTTTTCAGCTCTGCCCCAATGTCGACGGGAATAGGGTTCGATGTAATGTCTTTGACGTCAACAACTTTGACTATCTGGTGAATACACTCGAAGTCGAGGATCTTTCTGAACATGTACTCCGTGCCTCGTATCTGCTGACTAAGCGAGGAAAATCAGCTATCAAGTGCTCCGGTTATACCAACACTGCATAAGGCTCACTGTACAGCCAGATATCTATCTGTCTGGAATACCTTCCAATCAATTGTGCCGGCTTTCATATAACTGAGCTGGTGGTGGGTATGAGAACCTACAAACGCCGTGCATCTCGCCCACCTTACTGGCAAACCGTCTTTGTCGTGGCCAAAGGAAACGCCGGTGGTTTTGACTAGCTTCTTGGCATCCTCCTCTCCGATTAAGTCAATTCCGATATCCTTCCTCCACTTCAAGGCGTCCGCCAACATTTTCTGTGCAGCATCGACGTCGAGATCTCTGTTGTGATACGATGTCAGTTCTCATAGCCGGCTGTCCTGCACCACGGTTGGTTGTAGGTCACCTACTTTGCGCGTAGGAACTTCATGAGTAAGACGCTGACCCTGGGATCCGCTTGAGGCTCTGCTACGTTAACTTGGATGCCCCAAATCGAAAATGCGAGCGGATGAGGAGTCGCGTCGGTGGTAGACTGGCCATACGCCGCGGTGTAAACATCAGGCAGACGGGTCTATGAATCGCAGCGTAAGTAGCCGAAAAAGGGCGCTGGTTCACGCTGCCGATCTCACTCTGAATTTCCTCAAAGCGATCCATTCCTGCTCTGTGAATTTGCGCGTGAGGGCGTTTTGAGGCTCGAAAGCCGCTTTCTCCATGGCAGCCTCGTCATTTCCAAGGAGTGTGTCATTGGACGAGGAAGGCGACCGTGAAGCGTCGGGGCCGAGCAGAGGTTCCTTCGTAGTATCACCAGTCATAGGGCCTAAAATTGGTTCAACAAGTATAGGTGAGTGATGGTTGGGGGACTGGTGGGATAGACGTCACGTACATATAGGCCGGATTCACCCCGGAGGCTATGCTTATCATGCTGACTAGGGGAGTCTCGTGGGAACACTGCGGTCAAACCTTAGAAGCTGACATTGTCTGATTGTATGTCTAGTACATTAGGTCACAACAGCTCGATAACTGCACGGGGCTTACTCGCCGTCTTGAACCTAGGGTAGCTTGATTCCAACAATACGACTTGCGTATCACGACAGGAGGGATAATAGTCATTCACAACGCAGCACGAAGACGTAGTGGATTAGACAGATACTTCGATTATTCCGGATCAGAATGTGCTATTACGCAAAGTCTGGACGCGGAGTTGTGAAGGATTCTACAGCGGAGCGGTGTTTGTCCAACGTGTTATGCAAAATGAAGAAACCCTAAATTATAGAGATGATTTCAAGCTATGGGTTGAAAGGAAGTTTGACTTTGGTCCACATACCATCTAATCGCAGCTTCCGTCGCTGGGTCCATCCTTCCACCTCTCGTCTAGATTGCCGATTGCGCAACTAAACTTCTCTTTCCCAAGTTTTTCGTTTACTTCATTGTGCCTCTCACATAGCCATTTGCTCAGGCCGAGCCTCCCGCTGACGTTTGGCGGATGCTCTTTCACGCGTTCGTCGAAGTCGGACGCACAATGTGAACAGGGATACAGCATTGGCAAGGCGCGGATGAGGCTCAGCATATTCGCACGTTGTGTTGGCGTCGGTTTCTCTGGGTAGTACGCGGCCGTTGTGTGTAGGAACGTCCACGTCGCGCGTCCAAGGACCTCAACGTCTGGCGGACAGTTGTCCGAACGCAAGGGTGTTGTGTCAGTTTGCGTCAGTGCTACAGCAGCCGCACCCGCAACTGTCGCTGGGGCTGGCCCTGGACTGTCGGAAGCGGGCACTGCTACTTTGGATGCCTTGACGTTGCGCGGCCAGTTGCGAAATGCAGTGCAAATCTTGCAAGGCTTGCCGTCAGGGCCAATGACCCAGCCAGGCGGTGGCTTTCGTTGGACCGAAGATGGCGAAGGCTTAGCGTCCTCGTACTGAGGTTCTGGTGGCTGCATGGTGGTCGAGGGTGGACGCATTGCTGAACGCCATGATGACCAAGACGATCTCGCATTCCGGCTTCAGCCGCGCCACGAAGTCTCTGGCTTGGGGCAGACCAAGCCGAAGAGCTTCAGGTTGAGTATTGAACTGCAGGCGAACGTGGTGCTATAGTGTAGTGGTTATCACTCAGGATTTTGACTTCAACTTTCCTGAAACCCAGGTTCGAACCCTGGTAGCACCTGTCTTTTTCCTGCCGGTGGCTGGCTGTCTGCAGTGTCTGGAGTATCGACCATTCTTTACTCTGCAAATTCCGTCTTGACCTATCTTACCGATAGTATGAACACCATGCTCCGGACTGCTATCGCACTGGGACAGATAATATTATCCATAACTGAAGTACCAAACAGCGAAGGAGGTTTGTCATTGGCCTAATCGCCCAGGACATCGAGTGGATCGACTTCTCCTTCAGCATCGACCTGCTCCTCGGTATCTACCTCTCCTTCAGCGTCCAACACCTCCCCTTCCGCATCCGCATCCATCGCGCCCAATAGGTAGTTGGGGTCAGTAACCTCTGCGGCTGCCTCTTCCCGCTCTTTGGCCTCGTCATCGTCCATCTTCGTGTGTTGGACTTTGATCATGTGCCATTTCTTTGTGATCTGGTCGTATGACTAGGCGAGAGAATATGAGCGTATCGGCGACGAAGAGGTCAAGGGCGATACGTACGTTGACGCGTTTCTTCTTAAGCAGCATCTTCCGCTCAATGTTCTTATAGTATGCGCCTTTGGCTCGCGGTTGTGAAGGTTTGACGTCGGTATCGGGTATGAAATCTTTAACATCCATGTCGCCTTCGTCCAAGACGAGCAAGAACTCGTTGGGGACCTCCTGCTCGACCCTCACGACTTCGTAGTCTCGGACAAAGTGGAACGTCGTTGGCTATCGCTGCCGCTCAGTATCAACACATGACAGCTTGAATAGAGCGGCTCACCTCCTCATCTTGGTCCGCATTAACAGGCCGAGCCAACCTCGCGTTCTTGAACTCTGTAGCAGTATCATCGCCCTTCGTCAGGTAATACGCTAAGAAATGATCGCCCTCTGCCTCCATAGGCCGCAACACCGCACAGTCGAGCCGCGGGTCGTCCTCCTGTTCTCTGGCTTAGTGCGTGCGGACTCCACAGGGTGGATGCGACGTACCTCTGGAGGCCGTGGCCGGTCGCCAGGGCGTTCTGAGAAGCGGAAGAGGTCGTACGCGTTCGCCCAGATGCTCGCGTCGGGCAGGACTTCGTAGGACTCGACGGCCGTGACGTTCGGCTTGTTGGGGTGCCTGAGGGTCGTCAGGTCGAAGTTGTCCGTCGCAGAGGCAAACGACGCCTCGATGTCGCGTATTTGTGCTGACCGTGAGACGTCGATTGGTGCTTCGGGTATCGGTTTGCTAGGGGTAGTGAGTTCTACTGAGAGCCGCACGAGGTACAAAGACATACTGTTCTGTATGCTGAGAGCTTCGGAAACTACTGTCCCGGCTGAGGTATTCTGTCTTCCGCAGCCATGTGACGTGCGGTACTGTTGTGGGTGTTGACGTTCCTGAGCCCGAGGCTCCAACGTTGAAGGAGCCTAATGAATTCGACGGATCCAGTAGCAATGCCTGATCCTTAGGGTCTAGCATGGGCAAGTTTGCAGGGTCGGGATTCAAAGCTGTCGTCACAATACATAGTTGGCTATCTCAACTGCATGCATTCATCACAGCCCAGTCCACACGCACCAGAATCATCCGCGTCGGGCTCCCACAAACACTCCCACTTCCCCATATCCAATGGCATGCCCAACTCCGCGTCTACAATCATGGGTAGCGGGGTATCACTCGCAAGGTCGTTGAGAAACTCGGGGCGGGCATAGCGCATGGGGTCCGTTGGAACGTCGAGTAGTTTTGGTGGACATGGCGGCGCGGGAAGGGGATTCGAATAACGGACTCGAACGAGCAAGTCGAGCTTACTAGAGACACAGACAGAGTTCTTCAAGTATATTTTTCAGTATATATATGACGCTGCGCACCTTTTCTTGAAACTCATGTTCGTGAAGGTACCTGAGGAAGCGAACTGTGGTCGCGCACACGCGCCGTTCACCGCCCAAGGGTTTGGCGCCGAGAGCGTCCCACGTGGCCGCCACAACCGAAATTTAGTGAAGCGCCCGGTGGAGGCTTCAGCTTTGCTCGCTGCACGCCCACGACCCCTACCTCCTCCATTTCTCACTGACTGGTCCGGAGAACTAGGAGTATCCATTGGGATAATTTGATACGTGCCAATTGAAATGGTCAACGCGTCGAAACCTCGACAGGAGAAGAAGGGCCGGAAAGCGGAGGCCGACCTGGGTGCAAAACGTAGTGCTGAGCCTGCGCAGGTTAAGAAAGGCAAAGGCAAGGCAAAGACGGGCATACAAGAGCATTTACTAGCTCTTGGTGGCGATAAGGATGATGTCGCTCTTCTAAAAGGTATTAAACTGGACGGAGAGCTCATACAAGGCGAACAGGAAACAGATGTGCGGATCATCTCTATCTCCAATATTCCCGTTGTGTTCATGCTTTACATGTCTTATGCGATAGCCTCAGCTTTCAAACGATGTGTCCAAATTTCTGCAGGGTTTGAAGTCAGGCTCAGAGCCCAAGGCGAAACGCGCAGAGAAAAAGCCAGAAGCGAGGCCGAGGGAGTTGAAGAAAAAGCAGAAGAAATCAAACACCAAAGAGGCTGATATCCCAGAGCAAGAATCAAAGCCAGATCCAGTCTCTGTGCCCGCGCCTACTGTCACAGGCGTGAAGACGACTGGCAAGCTTGTCTTTCCTCCAAGTCCACATTGGTACACCGCCCTTGGACCCCTGCATGCCCCTGCAAAGCCGCTTCCCACTCCCAGCGCGTCGCAAATATCTTCTCTGACCGAGAAAGCTTCCACCCTGCTCAGCTCAGATGCATCCGCGTACCAGTCCTCGTCCGCTTTCACAGGCAACAGCGCGTCAGATTCGCATTTCTTAAACACTATCCTGTCCAAAGGAACGCTCTCAGACAGGCTCAGCGCGCTCACCCTGCTCGTGCAGGCAAGTCCAGTGCACAACGCGAAGGCTCTAGAGACGCTGAAGGGAATGGCGGAGCGTGGCAGGGGTAAGGGAGGAAGAGAAGAGGGATTGAAGGCTATGCGTTGCGTGGTGGATTGGTGGGTTGGCGGAGGTGCTCCTGGACGGAAACTCAAGTAAGTGGCAAAATGATACTCATAGGCGATACTCAGACTCATCACTAAAATTGTGATCAGGTACTTCCGCGACCAACCTCTATCACACCCCTCCGCAACGGACGCACACATACTGGCCTGGTATTATGAGGACTGGCTCAAGAAGTACTTCTTCTCCATCCTACAAATCCTCGAGGCAAGGACCATTTTTTCTTGTTAGTGCGGCTGACCAATATTCTGCTAGACGTACTCTCTGGACCCCTTGCCCTATGTCCGAATGCAAGCTCTTAGCTTCATTGCGACCTTACTTCGAGAGAAGCCTGAACAAGAACAAAACTTGCTACGACTTCTCGTTAATAAATTGGTGCGCCACATTATTCGATCGCGGATCCTTCCTCAATTTAAATCGTTCGTAGGGAGATACTGAACGTTCGGTATGCTCGCGGGCGTCGTACCATCTCCTAGGGCTCCTACAATCTCATCCCGCGATGAAAGGTGTCATAGTTCGCGAGATACGCGCGTTGATATTCCGCCCCGCTGCGTCCACTTCCGCCGCGGCCCAGCAGGCACTGGCTTCTAGCACAACTAACACGCACATCCGTTTCGGTGACGACGACAAGAAGGCAAGCAAACCCAAAACCAAGGGCAAGGACTCTGCAAAGACAGGCTCCATGGAACGATGGAACTCGCACGCATGGTATTACTCAGCCGTCACGCTCAACCAGGTCGTGCTGAGCTCCTCGGACCACGATCGCGATGTCTCCCTCGTACTCATTGACGCCTATTTCGAGATGTTCCGTGAGATTCTAGGCGGCATCAAGGGCCAGGGTGACGCGGAGGCTGACGCCGACAAGACTGCTACAAAGGAAGAGGGAAAGGAGAAGTCGAAGAAAGGCAAGGCGAAAGAGGTGCGCGGCGATGCCGGCTTCGCCGAGGTCGAAGACGCGAACTCGCGCCTGATCAGCGCGGTGCTGACCGGTGTCAATCGTGCGCTGCCCTTTGCCAAGGTCGACATGTCGAACGACAACGACGTCTTCGCCAAGCATATGGACACCCTCTTCCTCATCACGCACACATCGACCTTCAACATCTCCCTGCAGGCGCTTATGCTCATCCTCCAAATCACCACGTCCCTACCGGAGGCGACAGCTTCGACCTCCAAGGAGGGTTCGTCGCCCTTCTCAGCGTCACTCAAGGACCGCTTTTACAGGACGTTGTACGCGTCTCTCATGGACCAGCGCCTTGCCCACTCAAACAAACAAGCGATGTATCTGAACTTGCTCTTCAAGGCTCTCAAGGCCGACAACAAGGTTGAGAGGGTCAAGGCGTTTGTCAGGAGATTCATTCAGATTCTGGTGGCCGGTGTGAGCGGCACAGGTGGTGTAGAATTCATCGCCGGCGGCCTCTATCTACTCGGAGAGGTAAGCACTCAAGGTTCTTGCTATTGATGAGTTAACATGTACCTCTTCACAGCTTTTCAGCACTGTTCCAGGTCTGCGAGAGATGTTCAACGTTCCTGCTTCCAGCAAGACGAACGAGTCCTACGATCCTAAAAAGCGTGACCCGCAATACGCACACGCATCATCATCCCCCTTCTACGAACTCGTACGCAACTTCTTTCTCTCTCTCCTCCTTCGAAAGCTGACGCTTATGCTTAGCTTCCCCTCCTTCGTCATTACCACCCCGCCGTATCATTACACGCCCGCCAGCTGCTCACCGCGCGGCCGATCACAGCAACCGCCGACCTGTCGCTCAACACCGTCTCACACTTCCTGGACCGGTTCGTGTACAAGAACCCCAAGAAGCCAAAGCCCAAGGGCGCGAGCGCCATGCAGCCTGCCGCTACGGGCACTGACGGCACCGGTGTCAAGCTCGTGAAGGGCGAGGTCACGCACGGCGGAGGCCCCGTGAATGAGGAAAAATGGTGGAAGCGCCGAGTAGAGGACGTCCCGGTGGATGAGGTAAGCTTGTAGTTAGCTAGAGATAAAGCAGGTGCTGACGGTGCATGTTTGCAGATCTTCTTCCACAAAT